ATCTCCCAGTTGGTCTATATTACTGGTATCTACCACTTATTTCCCCATGTTGTCATGATGTTTGTGCTTTCCAATTCATAGACAAAGATCATTTGAAAGAGCAAATAATTATAATGCTCCGTAAATAATTTACAATCTTTTTTTTTCCTTTACAGATAAGCAGATCTTATGAAGCTCTTAGGTTTGTTAATGTTCATAACTGTGTTATCCATCCCCACAGAAAGAAATTTTCTGTTGGTATTTCTATGGGTCCACTCTTTACCCATTCTTGCACTTGAACCACTGTGTATTTTTGACTCCCTCGAAGGCTTGTTATGAATAACAATGCTCTAATTTTAGGAAGATGTTCAAAAGGAAGAAACTGAGAACCTAGTTTTAAAGCAGAGCTGAATGAAGTTAAGGAAGAAACCAAAGCAGAGGCTATCACATAACGAAAGTCTTCAGTCCTATGTTCTCATAAATAAGAACAAATGAAAGCATATGATGATGCTAATAGTGAGCTCTTCCTTGGGCTTAGCTAGAGCAGCCCCTCCAGGGCTATGCTACTAAGGCGACTAAGGAATAAGACCTACCTGCCAAAATCTTTTGTTTCCTTTGCCTACCTAAAAAAGAAAAAAAGGTTGAGAATCCCCAGCACTGCCTACAGCGGTGATTTTGTGTTATAGAAACCACAGCAGCTGATGCTCTTGTCTAATATAGTTACTGCCTCCCTCTGGCTTTGTTTGGACAACAAAGAGAAATGCGTCTGTCTGTCACTGTTTTATAGGCTCTGGGAGCTGCACAGAAATGGACAAGGGACGTAGTTTCATTTTCTGTAGATTTCTCAGTTCTACTCCTCCTTTGTTGGACTTGAAATGGTGTTGTCACTGTGGTCATTCTATTCTCCATCTCTGCTGGGTCCTCTAGATAGGCAGAGGAACACTCTGGGATCAGTAGAAAGGGAGGTGCTGATGTTTTTTTCACTTCTTGTGAGCCCGTATTCCTGTTGTGGGGTTTTGTTTGCTGTGAATCCTGTCTGCCTTTGAGAAATTTCCCCTCGTTAATCCATTTCTGCCAATGACAGCATAGATGAAACCAAACATTTCTGTATCTCCTCCAGTCTATGACAAACCTTCAACTTGTATTTAATTAAAGAGCGTACACAGTGGCTTTCTTAGCACTAGCAGTAATCCTCTAACAATTGCTGGGACCCTGAGAGAAGGAAAACTCTCATTAATAAAGACTTTGGGGGATAACTCCACAGGAGAGTTGCTGCAGAATTCAGAGCTGCAGGAAATCATGCCCAGTGAAAAACTTGTTCGTCATTGTGCTCAGTGTGTGCTGGAAAAATGGCCCCTGGCAAATCCACCACAACTTTTACGTGGTAACCCATGCGTTCCAGAAGGGCTTTTAGTGAATGGGTGTTTAATGAGTTTGAGCTAACTGCACATCTATTGTTTGCTAGCTAGTGTTTGCGTGACCTACCAAGTGTTGTGGTCAGGCTTTCCGTTTATCTGCACTTTTTGGGTGGGAAATGTGGATCACTGTGGTCCTTAGCTCTGTGTCTGTGTGGCCATTTGCCACTGATGTGAAAGATGTCAAACTCCACAGTCCTTGTGGATGCCCCATCCCTGCAGGCATTCAGGGCCAGGCTGGATGTGGCTCTGGGCAGCCTGGGCTGCTGGTTGGCGACCCTGCACACAGCAGGGGGTTGGAGCTGGATGAGCACTGTGGTCGTTTGCAACCCAGGCCATTCTATGATTCTATGATTCTATGATCCTTGCCTTTTCCAGAGGGAAGATAAAAAAACCAAAGTGGGGAAGCAGTGAAGTGAGTTCATACCAAGCTATCTGTAAAGTCTCTTTCATTCTCTTCTGGGAGGAACCCACCAAGGAAGGATTGTTATTCAGCCTCTGATCCCAAGAAAGGGATCGAAGGAGTCTTGTTTTGCAAGACAAGACTTACAGCACTGAGGTACATGGTTAGAGGACATGGTGGGGTGACTTGGAGTTGGACTCTAGGATTTTAGAGGTCTTTTCCAACCTTTATAATTCTATTTGTTTAGCTTGTTCATTTCCTTATTTAGTGAGCGTGGGGAATAAGCCATAAACCAGAAGGCTTCAAATGTGAGTCTGTTTGACCTTGATGATTCAGTTTAAGATCTTTTACACTCTAAATTCACACATCGGTGACCTTCCCCGCCTAAATATTGGATGTTTCAGTCTGAACTTCAATCAGCCAAGGGGCATGAAAAAACCTTCAAGACTGATGCTCACAAGCTCTCTGTGGACTAGAAGGAGTGGCAAAAATCAATTGATACTGAATGCACAGCGTTTACCCAACTAAAACGAGGGAAGATAAGTCCCACTGAGAGTAATGATAAAATAGTCTTTAAAAAAAGAGTTACCTCATGCTGTTTTTAGAGAACTTAGTGCATTTATGTAGCCTCCTGTCTTATGATGTTGGCCCACGATGTCAGAAGCTGATGTTGGTAGGATGGCAGTAGGGGTCGAACCTTCCCACCAATATTCCATTGCATTTTCTTTCCTTGTGAGTGATGGCAGCAGAGGAGCAATATGACAGAATGGTGTCTGACATGGAAGTGTGTATAGAGCAAAGGAGTGTCACTGAATTCCTCCATGAACTAAAAGTGGCACCTGCTGACGTTCACTGATGAGCACAGTGAGGAGTGGGTGGTGCATTTCAGCAGCAGCGTCAGTGGGTCACCTCTGCTGATGCAGATTTGGGCAAGCCCAGAATGAAGGCTTTTGATCATTGCTGGTAAAAAGGCACAGCAAACGGTGTGACTAGATTGAAAAAGAGTTTTGCAGCTGGGAATTTGCTCTAGCTCATAGCGCTATTGCACTCTTTGTGTTGGTTGTCATTTCCATGAAAATAAAAAGGAGGCATTACTTTTGGAGAGACCTAGGCAATATATGCAATCAAACAATTTAGGCTTGCATTTGTTTGTGACTAGGAGATGTGGTGAAGTACTTGCTAATGGGCTCAGCAGAACATTTGCAGCCTAAAAGAATCCTAACCATGGGTTCTAGCGCTTTGCCAACCCTGATCAAAGTTAGAGTTGTATGAATTAATTTATAAAGTCAACACTCAAATTGTTTATAAATGTGAGAGGGGTCAGGTAATAGGCTCAGTCCAGAGAGTTTTGACTTTCCTTTGATAAAAGGAATGTTTTGAAAGCAGAACATTTCAATCTTTATTTTTAAAGTAAGCTCCACGTTCTTTTACACGCATACACACACACACACATACATATATATCAGTTAAAATAAATTCCCCTTTTGGAAAAAAATAAAATAAAAAATAGAAACATTTGAGTACCAGGACAGCAGCAACTCAGTCTCCTTCAATGTGCTGTTGTTTTGGCTTTTCTTTTAATTTGGCTGGAAAGTCACACTGCAGTAATAATTGTCTATATACTGCTAATTGAAGCCCATTCTCAGCCTAAGGGAAATTAGCCTGAGCAAGGCATGGACTAGAAGAAGGAAAAGATTAGGTTGGTTTAGTAAGAGACTGGATTAAAATTATAACATAATTTAGCATATTAATTTTTATTCTAAGCGTAAATTGCATCAAAGCTTTGTTCCTTTGGAGGGTTTCTGGGTCTTCTGTTTTACTGCATCGGCTGATGAATGAGTAGAAAAGTAGCTCTCATTTTGAAAAGAGACATGAAGAGTTCTTTTTTTTTCTTTCTTTCTCTGCTTTCTTCAGACCAAAATACTTCCACCTCCCCCAAATTCACCAACTGTGAAGGCAGAATCAATGAATTTTAATGGAGAAAAGCTGTAACTCTGCCTCACATCTGTCCCTGAAGCTCACCTCACTCAGGGTTACTCCTGCATTGCATTTCACGTTGTCTGAGCAGACCCAAGCCAACACTGCTGCTCTCTCCACATTGTTTCCTTCTCACCGTCTCTTTGCAGTTGAGTTTCTGAACAGGTTATCTCCCAACTCAACGTGGTTTGCCATCTCTTTGAAGGAGGTTGGGTTCTCTGTTTGATTTTGTGCAGCGCCTGCCATAATGGGAAGCCTATGAAGATATGAGCAACAAAGTCATGCAATCATGAGCAAAAAGCCTTCTGAGATCCCCAAGTCCAACCCCAGCCCATCCCTACCATGCCCACTGACCACGTCCTCAGTGCCACATCTACCCTCTTCATAAAAACCCCCAGGGGCTGTGTCTCCATCACCCCTGTGGGCAGCCTGTGCCTCATGGGGTGTTCCCTCCATGTGGGAGCAGGTTGGTGGCATTAACATGACTGTGCTGGCTGACATTAACGTGACCCCATCTGGCTCGTGGTTCCTTTTTTGGATGCCAATTGTTATGGTCCATACTTTGTGACTGAGAATGCATGATGTAAGAGTCCATGATTAATTATCTGCGTGTTTTAGACACTGATGTATTTAAAAAAGCCAAATATAATTAGGTCTAAGTGGGGAGAAAACACTTAGGGGAGAGAAAAAGTCTTCTTACTGGGAATTTCCTGCTTTTTAGCTCCTTGATCTCCTAATCTGCATCTGAGATTTTGTTCTTATTTGGTTTGGGTTTTGTTTTGCTCTGAATTAGCATGAGCCAGGAGACAGTCCATGTGGGAAGGGAGGGAATAAACGTTGTAAGCACAGATCCCACTGCTCCTGGCATGAATTTTAAAGCTGCCATCTTCCTGCCCTAGATAGCTGTCAGTGTTAGTCTAGTCAGGCAGGGTTCCCAGAGGATAAAGAAGCAGAATTGCTCTTGATCATCAGCAAAAAAAAAGTTTGTTTTTATCTTTTTATGATAGGCACAGAGAACAATGGTGTTTTTTGTTGGGTCTTTTTTTTTTTTTCAGTAGGTACTGGATTATTCTCCCCTCTATCAGTCAAATGTAAAATGAGCCTGGATGCATATCCCCATGGTGCATTGACCCAGCAGAGCTTGGCTAGCTGTGCATCCCCAGGAATGCATCCTGAGTACACATGGGTTTTGCTCACTCTCTCCTTTCCTCTTGCCCTTCTTGCAGGCATCCAGCACGCGCCCAGAGTGCAGCATCATGCTGGAGATTGAAGAGGAACGCAGCCAGTGCCTGGCAGAGATCACTGAGGATAATCAGACCTCAGGTATGGGAGCAACTTCTTCCATCTCTGACCCTCAGGCTCCCATCCCTGGATTCACATCTGCCTTGTCTGTGCCATTTCTTGTCCCTCTTGCAGCAGCAGAGTGCTGCCTGGGTTTGCTTTGGCTGATGTTGAGCTCTTATGTTAGGAGGGAGAGATGCTGATCCTTCTAAAGCACAGTTCCACCAGTTCCATCCAAGCATTTGAATAGCTTGATGATGACCACCCACAGGGGGGTGAACCTCAGCCATCTCAGGCTGCTTAATCAGAGTCAGTCACACCTCTTTCTGAAATAGAAGTGTCTTAACCAACTCTGATACCTTTACTCACCTCCCTTCTTCAATGATCAGAAGAAGAGAGTCAAGTTGACAGTGCCAGCTTTGCTCTCCATTCTCCCAAGGTTTCCCCATCCCAGCAGCCGTGGAGCTGTGCCTCCTTTGAGGAGAAGGCATAACACAACATGAATTGGGCAAGTGGTGTTTCAGAACAGGAGAGATGCTGCAGGACATGACTGAGAATGGGGGATATTTCATACATTTTTGCTGTTGAAGTTCCTTGGTAAGCAGCCTGTAGGAAGCTTGGGGTATTTTGGCACAGCCACTCGTGCTCAACCTTTAATAGTAGAGATCTGAGTGGCAGAAAAATAAAGGTTTTATTCTGGTCTTGTCCTGTCATATCTCACAGCAGTTAAGTCAAAGCTCCAGGAATCGGATGTTGGGGTGGACTTGTTCCCTCCAAGTGCCTCTCTCAAGGCAGGGTCAGAGTTTGTGTGTAAAGGAGGTGTAGGGAGCAGTGGGAGACTGGTGGGTTCCAAAAAGGGGAGATCACATCAGTTGGGGTAAAGGTAGGAGGGTGCATATCCTGCTTTACATTTGCATCTTGAAAGAGGAAAAAGTGAAAGACGTCTTCTCATCCTCTTTCACTTGGCACTGCTCAAAATAGGCTACAGACCAAAGGGCTGTTCTGCATGATGCTTATTAATGATAGAACAGCATCCTTGGGCCAAGCTGGTCCCTCAGGGAGCTTTACTGAATGCAAGGAAGGCTTTTGGCCCCTGCTTTTATCTATTAAGATATGTTTTCCTTTGATTTCAAGCATCCCAATGCAGTTAAATAGAGCTGTTTGAAGAAATGTTCCCCTGGAATACAGTAAAGAAAGGAGAAGTCAGGGTACTTAAATACATCCTCTGAAAGCCAACTAAATGCTTCATTTCATTTTCATGCACACTTGGAGAAATTCAATTAAATGCATGACATTCAAAATGAAAGAATAAATATTCGAGTGTTAATCATTTTTTTTCTCCTTTTTCAAAATGTTCTTCCCCATTGAAAAGTTTAGTCCAAAACGTGTTATGTGTTGTTGTTTTGTTTTGTTTTTTTTCTCTCCACTGAATTAAACGAGCGTATTTTTGCTGGTTCTGATGTCAGAGCACGCTCAGCCTTACTGTGTGCCATCCATGCCTAAAGCATAAGCAAGTGTATAAACACCTTCTGGAACTTGTTTTTCATCAGGGAATGCTAAAATATTGGGTTGTAGGAATTCTGCATTTCTGCCCATTGCTACTGTAGTTGTTACACAAGATATGAGCACTATAAGATGTTCTCCTCCACGGAGATGGTGGTTACTACTCCTGAGTTTGTTGTAATGGTCACCGATGATATCAATGTGGAACACACATAGTGTTCCACATCAGTAGGTATTTAAGAGTTCAGTATACAAATTCCAGCAAAGAACTCATCTCTGCCCTTGCAATCAGTGGAAAGAAACCTCAACTTCTGATGTGTGATTGCTCTGGCACTGAGGTGGGTGACCAATAGATAAGTGCATCAACTTTTGGAGATGTCTGTTTTGGAAGTGACGTGGACCAACAGCTTCTAAATGTCTAAACAGCATGTGTTTTCCTGTTGGAATGTCCAACCCATGATGTGTGAGCTCAAGTAGACTGAAAAAGCTCTTTTTTCTGTGCAAGTCAGTAATTATAGCTGAGCACAGCTGCAAAATTCAGCTCTGATCTTTGGAGAGGTGGAGGAGGGGGCAGTTTGGTTGGCAGAGCTGACATGGAAGTGATGACAGGAGATCACACGGAGGTGAAGTTTATTTCCAGCAACGTTAAGACTGAACAATTTAAAAATAAATGTTGCATAAAACCTCCTAGCTCAATTCCCTAGAAAAGCGTTAACTTTAACGTGGCTCAGTCTCACAAAGGAGGAGAATGGAAAGCAATTGGAGCTCTCTGCCAGTTGTAACGTAGTACCGTGATTTATGGCCAGGTAGGTGTATTGCCTTCTGTGCATTCAACATCCTGTTAGCAAGAAGAAAATCACTTGAGATTTAACAGCCAATTTATTATCCTTTCTAATTGAATGAGTGGGATTAAGGAAAAGCGCAGTTCCAATACAGTCTAGAAATAAAGCTTTGTTTAGAAGCCATTATCAGTTGTATCGATTGGAGGGGCTTAATCACAGCTGTAATTTGTTGTGTCAAATAGATTAGTCATTTGTAAAGAACACCTGATGGTAATACTGAGATTAATCACTAGCTCAGGGTAAGCAGGTAGATTTCCACTGATAAACAATAACATCTGTCTTAACGCTGTTTTGTGTTTGAACAGCCATTAATTACAGTGGGTACATGTGCGTGAGTTAAATCAATGCTTTCTTTTCAAATTAAATGTCTGTGTTTTCAGTGCACGTGGTGGGGGCCAATTGCTGTTCCTAGAATCAGTCCTGGACCACAGGCTGGTGGTCACCAGCCACCGCTGGTGAGACTGGAGTCTCTCTTTTCTCTCTTAGGCCCATTTTTGAGGAAACGGTGTCTGATAAGATGATGTTGTCTTTTTGAGTGCAGAAGGTGCAACTGGGATGCAACAGCAGTGGAGATTGGTTTAAGCTGGCAGCACGTGCAAAGAATAAAATGGCTGTGAGATTGACGTTTGGGCTTTAAGGAAGTTGCTAACCATCAGAGGGCACAGAGCTGCAGGAAGGAATGCTTTATTGGCTCCGCAGTGGAGTGTGCCCAGTTTATGAAAGGGTGTGTAAGACGCAGTTGTGCTTTGCAGTATGGAATTGAGTTTCATGAGCTGGACTGCCCTGGCAGCCCTCTGCCCTGTTATCCTTTCACCTCAATGATCAGACAGCATGATCTTGTATCTCTTGTAAAGTGGCAATTGTGATGCAGTACAGAGGTGGATTCTTTATCATCGAAATGAAGACCAGATAGACTGAGATCTGTTGGCTTCACGTGGGCAAATAGCTACTGGTTGGGAATAACTTTTGGTGAGGGATCTCTGAGGTATTCTAGCTGAATGTAGGCATCTCTTTTAGGATGCAGTGAATCGTGTTCAGATTGCTGTATTGTGGAGGCTTAGCTCACCTGTGCTGGAAATAACCCCAGCTCCCAGGTGGGTCCCATCCTGTTGTCCACTTGTTTGGAGGGGATTGGGGTAAGTGAAGTCCTTCTTCCACCATTAGAAGACATGCATCTGTGTGTTCACATACAGAATTGGAATAAAACCTTCACTAGGGCATTTGTTATATGATCTTTCTAGCCTTTTTTATTCCCCAAAGAGTGTTTACAGTATAATTTATAGCACTGCTAAGAAAAAGTCTTCTGTAGATCTTATTACTGTGCACGTGGCAGGTGTCTTGCCTGCCCAGTGCAGGAGGTGATGCACACAGTGCCTCATCTCAGTCTTGGTGCAGAGCGTGTTCCTAAGTGACCTAAAAACCAGTAATGTTGTCTGTACTTATCCTACAGTGTGATATAGGGGACCTTTGCTGGGTTTGACATGATGGAAATTGGGCATTGGTTATTCCTTCCTTTCTCACAAAGCCCAGAGAAGGTATTGATGAGCTGCATCACAGATGTGCCTGGCTGTTGAGCTGGGTGACGTTTTGTAGTTTTGTCACGTGGGAATTGGCTGGCTTTTCTTTGCAGGCCACATGCTGATCTCGTGGCAAGCATGGCAGGTTTGCAGTAGTTCAGATACTGAGAATGGCACAAATCATAGCTGCACGTAGGTGTCACACGTGTGTGAATCATTTAGAATGAATCACAGCATGGCTTCGATTGGAAGAGACCTCAAAGATCACCTAGTTACAACCGCCCTGCAAAAGGGAGTTGGTTTTCTTTTTACTCCAGATTCTTTAATTTCCCACCCTAAATGTGTTCTCATTCTCTCTCCATGCTGGTCTCATAGTTGTTCTCCCTGCAAACTTTGCCTCATTTGACATCCATAGAGTATTGCAACATCATGGTTTAGTAGGCATGGTGGGGATGGGTTGACAGTTGGACGAGATAATCTTAGTGGTCTTTTCCAACCATTAGGATGCCCTAACAGCACTATTGCTGAAGTGATGGTGGTTCCTGAGTATTCTTGGCTTCAGTTTTCCTCCTTTAAACTAAAAGTAATGCTATTTTCGTATCTAGAAGGGGTAAGTTAAGGACAAGTACATTGAAATGTGTCCAGTTGCACTTTTTTATGGTTTAGACTTCTAACAGAATTGTGCATAGATAGAATATGAAAGGCAGTATTTTGGCAGCACCTACAGTTTAAATTCACAGGAAAATATTATGTATCTGCAGAGAAATAACACTTCCAAAGAGAAATCCCATGGAGTTTAGGTTAGATAAGTCAGGTTTTCTATCTTCTTCCAGTGAATCTATATGTAGTATCATGCATCACTCTGAATTGGCTGTGGGTGCAGATTTTGTGGGTGATATTTTCCTAGAAGCTGCCAACAGAGGTTCCCCAAGGAACTCAAATTATATCCAACATACACAAAACCACATTCCCCTGTGCACTAGTGCCAAGCAGTGCAAAGTGAAGCAAGCAGAGGCAAGAGCTCAATTCCTGACAGTGCTCTGGCATTCGATATTGGTGGGACATAGAGCCTAGGAGTTCATCAGCCAGTTCCTGGGGGAGTTCTGCCTGGGCAGCTGCAGGATCTGTTCACTGAATCATTAAGGAAAAGACCTATAAGATCATCTAGACCAGCCATCAA